AGAAAAAAGGAGTATTGAGGAGTAGAGTAAAAGGAAGGGAGGGAAATTGGTAAGCGGTTATTTGCTTGGTTCAGGACGAATGTCGTGTGTAATCCAACGACATCAGAGGCGCCGCCGCGCAAACTCCGCTAATGGACATGAGTGAGTGATGAGAGGAGAGAAAGAACAGAGGAAAAGGGGCAAAGCAGTAGGAGAAGTAGATGGAAATAAAAAAGATAGAAGATGTGCCGGAAAGAACTCCTTGCGCTTCCTTTTCTACTGTTTGTCTTTTGAATGTTTTAGGACCTCTGTTTAACCAACTTACTTACTGCCTCTGTGGAGTGTAGAGACAGCCGCTCCTATTTGCACACGAAGCATTCCCTTCCCTTTTCTGATATCATCATGTCGTTTCTCCTCTTTGCTAGACGCCTATATAGCTAATACTCGAACTTTCAGTTTGTCATATAAATCGTCTTTAAAGACATACTAATGGCTAGAGCAAAGCATCTGAATGTTTATTTTATCATTTATTGATTTGGAATAAATCTAAGTTAGAAGAAAAACTACTGCTTTAAATGCACTAGAGAGATAAATATGTTGTAGATCTGGATGTTTATGTATTATTTTTATGTTGACACGCTTCGGAAATGCAGTTAGGTATGTTACTAGTCAACGGAAATGAATCTCCTCGTGCAATTTCCAAAGCAAAAATACCGTTTTCAGCGACGCTTCATGCCCAGAGTAATTGCGTCTTTCAAGTCGACGAAGCGTGACCACGAGACAGATTGTGACAGAGCGACTTGTGGTCAGAGGTTATCTTTGACGCTTTCGGGATATCTATCGTTCCACTCACTGAGATAACATGACGGTAAAGGAGAAAATAGTTGTCCTTAGATAAACATTGCCATTTAATGCTGGGGTGATGAATAAGAAAAAAAAACTGATTTGACACTTTTTTTTTGTTAAGATTAATTGTTTCCTTTGCTTAGTTCATTCTTCAATGAATCGTTTTATTCATAAACAATTCTCTCAGTCGATAAAATTAAAAAGAAATGCGAAAATATTTTTAAGAAAATTCATTCGTTCTTTCTTTTTTTTTATTTAATAAAATGTCGATGTCCACAGTTCTGTTTTCAGAAATCAGGTGATGGAAAGGATTCGGAACCAACTCAGGTAAATAAAGCAATCAATTTAAAGAATAAAAATTAACATTTATTCTCTGAAAGTAAATCATTGAAAATTAATTAAAAATAGTGAATATTTACTGATTTTGCATACTACAAATCGCAGTGTTTTATTTTGATATACTAAAAGTGTTTTAATATGACGTCATCTATTTGATTGACATTGTCATCCTTTTTAAGACACTTTTAGTGTATTAAAATCAATCACTTTAAAATTGGAGATTTGCAAGTGTATTGTTATTACTATTTTGCAATGATTTTCAATTATTTTTACTATTTTATTTGTGGAGAGTAATTGAGTGATCATGAGGTTGGTTTGAACTCATTAAAATTATTCACAGAATGGGGAATATTTTTTCACTGAATTAGGGTTAAAGGGTTTCAGTAATTTGAGAAAAGCCCCAAGAATCTCATGGAAAAATTTGTATTCGAAAAAGCAAAAGACCGATTACAGAGTAGAAACTGTTCGTCCGAGACAATTCCCCTGGGGAGTAAAATAAAAAAGCGTTCTAAGGGATGGTTCTTCATGGTCGAACGTTATCGAGGGAGTTATCCTGATGGTCGTTTGCACTTTCTTCTTTTCTCTGTTTGACCCGCGGTCGCAAAATTACGGAGTCGAGAGGGATGAAGCGGAAGCAAAACCTTCGGGTGTTATCCAAGCATTTCAATGCCAGTTCCGCGACGTCTGCAGGATAAAGAAAAAAGAAGGAGATAAAATTTGAGGACAAAAAAGCATTCGATCGGCTTCAATCAACGGGTCCATTGTCAGCAGTAGCGATAATTCGAGAACAGGCGAAAAAGCATTCACAGTAGATGAACCGATCTGAATTAATTATTTATAAACCATGTTTTTTTTACTTATTATTTCAATTTTACTGTTGATTTTATTTCACGGTGTATTACGCTTTGGTAATTTGTTTCTCCAATCATGCGAACTTTTCTCTTTTTTTTAAATATATAGTAATTGAAAAAACATTTCATGCACATATGAAATTATTAGAATAATTATTTAATTCATTATATATATTTAATTAAATTATTTTGATAATTTTTCACGTAAACACTGTGAATCCAAGCGCATTCTTATTACACATTTAAACGTGTTAAATATGAGGTTATCTATTTGATAAACATTGTAGTCACTTTTAATGCAGTTCTAAGCGTGTAAAAAGTGACTACAATGTATATCAAATAGGTGACGTCATATTTAACACGTTTAAATGTGTAACAAGAATGCGCTTGGATTTACCGTGTAGGCTTCCGTTTGATCGCTTTTTTATCATTCAAATATTTTCGAAGCGCGTGAATATTTTACTGTGATATAGAAAAAGTAATGTAGACCACCTCAAAGAGTTTTTCTTCATCCTCTCGACGCATAGGAGCAAAAATGGTTGGGGGATAAAAACCTTTGTGGCAGTCGATGTAAACGGACTGATTTCCGTTTAACGTTTTCTTCTATGAGGGTTCTTTACATTTTTTCTTCTTTTTTCCTTTACTTTGTTCAAACAGAAAATCAAGAACATTTCTGTTTTTTTGTACTTTGAAACTGATCCATTTCTTCTTTCAATGCTTTACATTAATAAATTTAGCAAACATTAATTACATTCTGATATCAATTTAATATTCATCGTATGAAGATAAATAGAATTACAATAATCATGCCATTAGCAAGTGATAAATATAATGAATTTAATTAAAACAATATGCACACACGAGTATATAAAATAAGATTGAATTAACAACACAGTTAACTCTACACATTTTATAAAACTTTCTTAATCAGTGTAAAACACTTTTCTGGCTTGAAAGCTGTTTGTTTAAACTGCAGAGCACAGAAGATATAGTTAAGGATTGAAATTATAAAACAAATTTATATATTTCTTATTTTCATTCAGAATATTACGTTTTTTTTTCATCAAAAATCCTTTATACACTAGTAGGATTAGTGTTAATAAAATAGAATTGCAATTAAAGAGACTTTTTTTTTTAATTTTTTAATGACTTCAAAAGTTATGGCGTCGATGGTTCACCCTTTCCTTTTATTCTCACCCTTACACCAAGTCTATCAAATGCAAAGCATGTCGCGTACGCCTTCTATACGCTCCCTCCGACTTGGCCGGAAAATCCACCCCTTTTTCGGGCGGTCGATACTCCAGAAGCTTCGCCATAGCTTCGACCGCATACCGGCTTTCGCCACCTACTCCACCGCCTTGCCTTTTCTTCCTGCCACCCTCATCGTATACCCTTGCGAACGATTCGCTTCTACATTACACCACTGCTAGTAATGATGGCGCCACTGATAACGAAACCCCATCAATAATTTTTTTATTTATTCAATTAATTTATTTATTTTAAAAAATAAATTCATCTTTAAAAAAAATGTCCCAGTTTTCTAATTATCATAAAATAGTGAAAAAATTGCATTTAATAATTTCCCCATTGAAAACTCATCATTAGTAAATGAATGTGAATGTGTGATTTCAAAAAGTGATAAAAATACAACTGGCAATCGAACGAAAAAAAGATGCCAACAATTCTTTTGTAAACCGAATAATAACATATATTTGCTTCTAATAATTTTCTCTAGCTGACAACGTGGAAAAAACTGTGACAATGACTGTAATCAAATGAACATTTAATATTGAATTTTTTCATCATTTCATTCATAATAACACACTGTAAAATCAGATTTTCCATCCATCAATTATCCTTTCATGATAACACATTTTTTTTACAACTTATACCATTAATTGATGTCCAACAAAAGCACATGAGAAGTTCTGTTTTTCACTTCTTGGTGAATTTAAGATGAGAAAAAAACATTTCACTGGTTACGATGTTTCAACGCTGGACCGATTGGTCCTCATGATTCCAAGTAGGTGGGCCGCCAGGTAGCTGGACAGATAACACCCTGAGATTACTACGGACAGAGTCATTAGCCGCGCGTCGGCTTCTGTGTAGACAACACGGTCTTTTCTTTTTTACTATATATGATATACATAAATTCTTACGAGTGTCTTTTGCCAGTTTTCTCTTCATCGACCAGCGGATGCATCTGAATGTCGAGATAGGGAAAAAGATGCCTTTTTTGGTGAAAAAACATACTGAGAATTACTAATTGCTTGATATATTCTGGCATATTTGGTTGAATACCAGTTGGAAAGGGGAAAGAATGACCAAGGAAGAGATCTCAAAGCGAAGGCATTTAGGTATATAGTGTTGATAGGCTAATGACAAACGCGTAGATTAGTCTTATCTATCCGACACTAATTATTCCTTCTTTATACCATGCCGCCCGCGCTTACGATCAACCAGCAAATGGCACTGAGATATTTATTTATTATCATTCACATCCTCCTACTCTGTTCATTTTATCTCTCTTGAGTTCGAAAAGTCTTCGCAAATGATGATGATGCTCACATAGCCTTTGTTTCTTTTATTATGAATGCTTTAAGCTCATCATTTATTTTTATTCTGAAATTCACTAATATTTATATCATTTCAGAGAATGAATTCCTAAGGGGTTTTAAAATTTAAAATATATATATATATTGTTTTGAATATAAAAAAAATGTTTAAACAATTAAAAGTTATGCATTAGGATTAAGTGAATTATGTGTACCACAGTGGATAGAAAATGGACTTCTATTGAAAGTTAAAAAAAATTTCAACGTTAATTGGACAATCTTGAAGAAGAAAAGCGATTATCATAAACTCCTTTCCATAAATTCCTGACTAACAACAAATACGCTATTAACTATTAAAAAGCAAGTACATATAATGATTGTAAAAATGTGAAGCAGTCTGTCCCATAAATGGTTTATTCTCTTGTTTCAGACGATACTAAACTCAATGCACAAATACCAGCCGAGGTTTCACCTTGTAAGAGCGAACGATGTCCTCAAACTACCGTACTCGACGTTCAGAAGTTACGTATTCAAGGAGACGGAATTCATTGCCGTCACTGCGTACCAAAACGAAAAGGTAAGTGAGCTAAACTTCCATCTTGTCTATCTTTTTTATTCTTCTTTCTTTCTTTTACTCCTTATACCCTTCGATTTTTTTTTCTCTTGTCAATGCTGCAAGTAGAATTCAATATTGACCTGTCGGCGAAAGTCAAACAGAAAACGGAAAAAGAAAAAGTGGGATTTGAAAAAGATCTTAGCGCGAGGGTAAAGTTTCACGAGACACCTTGGAGTCGTTCCAGGAGTTTGTTCCAAAACTTGCTCATCATAGTTTCCAAGTTTTTAATTCAGGAAAAAAATTTTTCTCCTTAAAGACCAGCTTTTAAATGATTTTCTCATTTTAAAAAATACTTTCATCGATTCAATTTGATAGTAATGTTGGATTTATTAGACTAATACTTGGCTAAATATTTCATTTGAGAATTACATGATTTTATGCATGATTCCAACACTGCATATGTCGCATTGGTATTGATTCTACATAAGCTTGAAAGCAGCCTTGATATGGATACGTAGCCTATAAATATTTTCTCAATTGTCAACTCGATCTAAAATAGATATGTAAGAGATATAAGTGCTTACCTATGGATGGTCTTTTCTTTGGTTTTTATTCACTTATTTAGTCTACAATTTATGGAACTATTATGTGCGTTACATTTATGTGAGTACAGACTATATCACAATCAATAGTAACGATCTGAGATTGATCACGGAACGTTTTTCATGGAGTTTAATATATAAATGAAAATAATTATTATATACCTGTGCTCTCATAATTATTTGAGGAAGATGTAGATTTTATCTAGAGGATAAAAAATATTAGTTTCTATATAATATTTATTTATGTGAATGCTTTGATTATTGCAGCAATTATTCATGTAGTTCAGTTTGTTCCGTTTTATCTTTATTTTATTTCATGGAAGTTTGACTTTCAAAACACTTCTTTTAATCCAATATACAGTAATGCTTTCTCATTTAATCAAATCCATGATAAATTTTTTTTTCATTTCTAATTATCAGTCATTTATATCTTAACTTCTGTCAGCTCTCGAAGAATTCAGTGTTGTATCAATCTAAATTATGACTATGATAATATTTATTGCGTTGTTTGAATAGCTAAATTGCAAGTAGATTGATATGATTTCTAGATTGGAAAAAGTGATTATTGAAGAATTAAAAAAATAATAATTGTAATTAAAAACTAGAAGAATTAAAATAAAATTTTAGAGGAATTAGATATTATATTTCAAGATGTATTATATGTTTACTTAATACTTTTAGAGTAAAATTGGCATTTAAAAGATCCAAAATGATTAAAAAATCTCTGAAAAATCATTATAATATTTTTTCATTATCGCTTATAATAATTTTAATAATATTAATATTTATTTCTTTGTCTAGATAACTCAACTGAAGATCGACAACAATCCCTTCGCCAAAGGATTTCGAGATACAGGTGCAGGAAAACGAGAAAAAAAGTGAGTGTCGCTTTCAGAATTTTTCCCTACCTTATCTCTTCTTTTTCATCTGTTTAAAATGATTTATACCTAGTTTTATCTATTTGAAAATATTTCTGTTAGAAATAGATAGAAAATTAATGATATTTTTCTATGAGCCGCTGTCACGAATCCCAGCATGTCCTCATTAACCAAACATGATCCAACGGTCGATCATGATCCCTGAAAGCTATCAAGGGTTTGAATCTCGAGTCTCATTCGCACCCCTGGCAAGTCGTGATCCGTTCATTTGTATTCAATATTGCAAGTTTATAGGCTTCATATGGACTCTTGCCCCTCAGGGCGATTGCTGCCGCATCGTAGTGCTTATAACACGCAGTCAAACGCTCCATGAAATCCATTCTAATTTATCTAAACCCACGATACAGCTCAAGTGGATTTTGATAGCATTAAGAAGACTATATACCATTCTTCTCTTTTACAACGATCATCATATTATTTTTTATTCATTAGACCTTATTATCTCATCTCCAGGATGTCAAGTGCTAGAAATCGATCTCTGTATTATTATCAAACCTCAATATACTCATTATTTTCATCACTATTCTATTCAAATTTTATATAAGTCTGATTTTTTCTCATCGTTTGTATATCATTCTTAAAGGAAATAAAAAAAAAAATTGGTAATAAAACAGTACAAAAAAGTAGAAAAAATACTGAGGGGAATTTGTTTTAAACAAAATGAATTTTTTTGCTGTATATTTTTTTGTGGAAAGAATTATAAAAGTGATGCGGAGCTGCAAAAAAGAGGAAGCATGAAAAAGCACAAGGGTCAAAACAAGGTAGGACTGAGATGAGGTTGGAACATAGCCAATCATTGGATTAGCATACTGATGTTCAGGGGCGGTGCTATGGTTTACGTTGAGGGTGCCACTCACTGAGGCTTTGAATTTTATATTAGTACTATGAGCTGTTATATCCACATAAAAACCACTTTCGAGTCTCATTCTTGATCCAAGACACCCTTGAAATGATTCTCCATCACATTATTCTCATCGTCAATCACATTTGTCAACGATCATTTTTTTTATTCTTTTCAAGTAGAGTTTAATGAATATAAATCTTTTTTATTATTATTTTTTTAACATCAATAAAAAATTAGTAATATTAATTAATTTTTATTGAACTAAATAATTCAAGTTTAAATATGTCGAAATTCACAATTATTTTAGAATAATACTAACAATATTAATAACTTATTTTTATCGTTGCATGAGTGAAATAAAATAGTCGATTGGTTTTTACTCATGAAAATACTTGGAAAAACGATTTAAATTAGAGTTAGTTACGTAAGAATAAATATTGATGTTAATATTTTACTCGTATTTATCAGCCATCAATAGGATACAAGACATCATGCAGTGGCTGGTAATAGTTAACAAATTAAATTGTAATTGTAAAATATCACAAAAAATATGGACGATTACAATTTATGATTAATCTTTAAAACTAATTAATTGAAAATAATGAAGTAAATATTTCATTATTAGTCAAATTTGCCCAATAAAATACTTAATGATAAAACAAGCTATTAGGAAACTTCAACTTTATTCAAGATCGTTAATACATAACCAATTAATAAAAAATGATTTATTATATCAATTAAAATTGTTGTTAATATTTTGAAGATACTCCAAAATATAAAAAAAGACCATTTAGATGCTTTCTCATTTTCCTTCGCTTTTCATTCTTTTATTATTCTTTGTCCAGATAGTTTGAATAAGACAAAAAAAGAATTTTTAAAAGTCTAATTTCCGTGGAGGTGTGGCTGTAATTTAAAATTCGTGAAGGGACTCGTCTGGTTAACCCTCTGACATTATCTAATCCGGTCGAGTTCAGAGGAGAGAAAGGGTCGAGGGATCAAAATTATGTACACAGCTACTCCACAAATCATTCTTTCTTTTTCTATTACTCTCCTACACGTAACTTGTTCTCAAGCAAATGTAAAGCTGCTGAACGTAACCGCGAGATGTGCCTAGAACCCCTATCAGGGGTCGTAGTCTTCTGCTGAAAGGGTGGATTATAATTCTACACGACGAGGGGATCTAGAGGGTGGACGATGATACTAATAATAGTCAGGCGAATCCTGCGGTGTCAAAGGCATTGCCACCCTTTTTCTCCAGCACGAACGTGCCCGGCACGCAGACCACAAACGCGTTGATTCTAAACCGACAGCCTCATGATCTTATCTTGGCCTTTGTCTTCGTTTCTCTAGGTGTCAGAGTAAATCTACTCCTCTTATAAATGTTTATTTTGGTGTTTATAATTCCGCAGTTTCTCAAAAAACATTCCCTAACAACATAATCTGACGTGAATTCATTTAAATATTTATTTTAGTATTATTTGTTCATTAAATAATTAAATTTACTTTTAAAAAAATTGTATTTCAATTTTAAAAAAACCGATAGAATCAAATTGAATGAATAAAAAATAAGAAATAAATTATAATTTTTTGTTACAAACTTAAATAATAAAGATTTATTATATTTTTTACATTTATTGTAATGTTAAAAAATTATTATCACTTAGACTGTTTACTAAATAAATTGACAATGTAACAAAAATTTCAGTATTTATAGAAAGCAATATAAAAAAAAAGGTGTATTATCACATTTTTCTGTCAAAGTTGACTCGCTAATCATCCACGAATAAAAACCCCGCGGTTTAATCGTCTGTATATCATACATATTTGTTTGAGTCTGATGTAAAGTGTTCATAAATTATGATATCAAAGGTCAAATGAATTCATTGTAGATTATACGTTGGGGCATAATCCAACCAGTTGTGCGACTGATAAAAAAGAAGAGTAAAAAGTAAAAAAATCATATACGAATTAGTACTGAAAAAAATTCACTCTCAAGGCTTGTAGCTTGATAATTGGAGTGTCAGTACAATATCGTAATATACGCGTGTGTATATAGCCACAACGGATATATTTATGCGGGAGAATCCCATCCCCTATATGAGCTCTGTTATCGATTAGTGTACAGAGTATGCAGCACACACCCTCAGCTACCGTTTTCTTTCTTTTTCTACCTCGTTTCACATGAATAACGAAGACAACTGAGGTGCACATGTATCGATGATCGCATTACATGGTATTAGGGAGAAAGACTTGTAATCCTCTTGGTCGTACAACAAAACGCGGGTCTTCTAACTTTATTTTCAATCTACATTAAAATCCATTCGCTTGGTGTCAACTTTTCAATGAATCGTTTATTCATCATTAGAAATTCATGCTCTTGGCTCATTTAAACAATACCAGACTCACTAAAAAAATTTACCAGTTGAAAAAAAGTTGACTTTTGTCATAATAAAAACAACTTATAATCATGGATCTCAATTGAGATCAATTTAATAATTCAATAATTTTTTTTCTTCGATAATTAGCTTATTATTTATATGATAAAGAAAATTTTGTTTTTAAAAATAAGTGTATAATGTATCTAAGTAGGTACCAATTAAAAAAGAATTAAAATAAATGAAATACAAAAGCTTCATAAATGAGCATGAGAAAAAATAAGTAGTCAATTACAGTAATTGAATAAAATGTAATACTCGAGTTCTGATAAAAGATTCCAACGGTAGAATTGTAGATATTGTTCAACATAATAGTATGTTAAGAATGATAAAGCAGAGAAAAATATATGTAGAAATTATAAAATGAAACGATTTGAAAGACAAACAAAATGTTTCGCCGCGTTTATGTGGAATAAATATGATTAACCCTCAGTGGATGCACAGTTAGACTATATCGTAGGTTGCAGTCACGATTTTTCGTGCTGATTGACCGAACACGTGAGGTAGCCGTGCAGTAGGAGGTAAAAAGGGTGCTCATACAAGTCCCATCGTCAACGCGGTAATCGATCTGTCGAGGCGTCACGCAGTTCGTAAACACGAACGAGTCTATCGTGCGATCGACGTTCGCTCGTGGCTAAAAAAAATAAAAAGAATAAATAAATAGTTAAAATACAAGAGGGACGGAGAGAAATTAAACTCTACCATGATCGTGACGCGGGACTAACGATGGGGCGTGCGTGCAAGCCGCTTGTTTACCCAGACACGTGTGAACGAAAACTTTACAACTTCCATGTGTATATGTGCACAAGTAGGTGGATTGCAATTTGCAATGGTTAGAGGTGTGAAATACCCGCGTGATTAAAGGGTAGGCTTATTTCATGCCCCCTCTTCCTCCCCCTCTATTCCATCTTCTAAACGAGGTCATCACATTGATGTAAGGGATGATTTTTTATTAACATCATTATGCTTTATTTTTTGGTCTTGATTAAATTCCATTGATCACTATTGCAAATAGCTTTCTCTTTGGTAACGAGAATTTTTTTCTTTCGTTTCAACGAAATTTTTGTGAATTTGAAATTAAAACTGCATTTTGTGATTCCGAAAACGAGACTGGTTTATTTGATTATTGAAAATCAATACGATTGACTCGTTGCTTCATACCTCAATTTGTGGGTTCATTTTATTTGTTTGTTTTAAATTTTTATATCTTTAAATACTAATGGTTTCAGTAAAATTAAATAGATCCTAAAACTTGATCGAAAAAATCATCACTGTTTTTAAAAAAAAAATAAATGAAGTAAAATTGTTTTTTTTTATCTGTTACATAATTATTTTTCTCCTTGATAAATAAATATAAAATAAATAAATTAAAGTAAGAACGTGCTTAAGTGAACGTATACGATATTTTCCTCCTACTAGACTCTTTTCCACGATGATATAAGAACATGTGCTTCAAATAGAGATAATTTAATGGTCAAAGATTATAAAATGAGTTTTGTAATTCAACGTGATGTATTCTAGACTGAAGATTGACATGACGAAGTGTCTGTACCGAGGATACATAAAATCCAATGTTAAGTACTTGTTGTTTATAGCATCCTATCAAAAATGAATAAAGCAAACTTTCGCTGGAGGACAATATATCTCCAGTATTACGAGGTCGTGACACATGTAATTGACGAAGAGTAAAAAAAGGCAAGCCTCGAGGGTATTCGGTGTCATTTTCAGGCGAATAGAAAAGGCGTTTGTAGTACGATTAAGATAATTAATTTGATACCTGTCGTGCCTCGGGCACAATTGCCGATGGTTATACTCTCATAAATTCTCTCAATCTCCTTCTTGTTATTATATTGAACGCTACCAAGTAAATGAGTGCAGTTATTATTATCAGGAACAGGTTGTAAGGATAGGTAAGCTACAATTCATCGTGCGTGCTTCAGCGGCATGTGTTTGCTGTGGCGACGAGGCGACTATTTACCGATAGCGAGTGACCGTTACGCGTAACAACTTCATAAGTCACAATACGTGACTGTTCGCGCGACTGCTGAGTTACGTGACACAAACCGGATCTTCGTAATACTTTTTGTCGTTTCACCTTTTCCTTTATCTTCTCTACTGTCGTTTTATTTTATGTTGACGAAGAAGCCATTATATCATTGCTAACTCAAAGTCGTTGTTGCAGAAGACAGGCGCTGTTGACCGTGTCAGGAGGAAGTTCCCGTTTGACGTCAGCTCCAGCATCGCCGGATAAACGCAGATCGTCCAATTCGGCTAATGACTTGATGGATGATGAAGACAAACTGTTGGATGTTGTTGGACCAGACACGCCACATCCAGCCCAACATCATCGTGAACGTGAACATTCAAGGGAACGAGATGACAGAACGAGCGAACGTGGAGAAGGAAGTGAATCTTCTGGTTCCGAGAGTGGAGGGGTACCAGGGGGACCAACTTCAGAGGGTCCAAGGCCCGATGTATCTGTAGGACCACCAGTGCTTCATCCTCCATTGCTACCCTACTTTTATCCACCGGTACCTGGAATTTATCCTGGACACAATCCACTTATGCCACCAAATCCACTTGGACTTCACAGTGGAGTTACTCCTGGAATGCTGCTGAACGCACAGCTGGCATTGGCAGCTTCGCAACATCCAGCACTCTTTGCTCACTATCCACATCCACTATCGAGTCCACTTCATCAACTTAAGGGTCACCGATTTGCGCCTTACACCCTACCAGCACCATCACATGGTTCAGCTTTTGAAACCGTCACACCAGGAAGTCGTACACTAAGTCCACGGTCACCTCCACCAAGACCACCTACCGGATCTCCTACTCCTGGAAATAATGGAGGCCTTACAGTAAATAGTGGGCCAGCATCAGGAACTGGTGAACTTAAATCGATCGAAAATATGGTAAACGGATTGCAAGAAAGGCGAGGTATCAAGAGGAGACGAAGTCCAAGTTTGACGCCTGGACATCGAAATGATGCTGACGGTGGTGGAGGGAGTCCGTGACAAGATGAGAACGAGCCTGTAACTAGCACCAAGATAGACACGGAGGATGAGGATCTTGAGATAACTAGCGGTGAAGAGTCTGCGAATGAGCAGGAACTCGAGCCGGATTCCACGTCTGAGCCTTCGTAGCCAAGATTATCGTAGAATGTTGTTGAGAGAGATAGAGAGTTTGGGTAATCTATTATTGTCGAAAGACAACAAAAAAGAAGGATTATCCACGAGTCTTAAAAAGAAGTTATGAGGATGTGGGAACTATAAAGTGCAATTTAAGAGCGATACAAGTATTTTCAACATAAATAGCGATATATTCGCGTGATAAAAAATCGACTGTAAAAAACGTCAAGTAATAACAGAGATAATGGACAAATGTCGCGTGTGACGTGTGTATATAGTTAATAATTACCTGGAATTTTTAGCGAGTTATCGATCAATTGGTTGTTGTGCTATGAACACTGATAAGATAGTGATGACTGGTGCTAGAGCACCCTTATACCTTTGTACATTTTCTCGAGCAATTATCCTGCAGTGAGAAAAGAATTCAAGAGAAGAGGAGCTTCAATTATTGCCTGATTCGAATACTTTAAAGCTTAAGACAAATTAAGTAATGGTTATTAAGTATGAGTAAATATTGCAATATAATTGGAAAATAATTGAAATGAACGAGCACCTCTACTCTTTACTGACCCAATTGTAAATATGTACCCTAGTGATTATATATATAAATATATCTTTCAAAATATAAATACAACTATCCCCTCCATATTAATTATTGAATATCTTAATTACGATAATTCATTAAATTAGTGCTCCAGAGAAATCATTGCGTTAAGCACTCGCTGTCTTCATTAATTAAATTGCGCCGCCAAAAAAAGGAAAATTATTCATTAAATTGATCGTCCTTATGATCGACTTGAAATTTTGTTCTACGAGATTCCTTATCTCACATTTTCTCAGGAATAATTATGATTATCTGTAAACTACTAGAGGAAATTTGTTGTATAAAAGACGTCATTAGATAAAAAAAAATTCCATTTATTTAGCATATTATTTTCTTATTTCATTCATGCTTTATTCATTTTTATTTATTTTCCACTCAGATCACTTCACGATTATTCAATGATTGGTAACACCTGATTGACGTTTATTTATAGAAGTGTTAATGACGGAAAGTGAATGTAACATGTCTTGAGAATTGTATGAATGATATGAACATAAATGATATAGATAATCGAAGGATGTGTAATAAAACCAATTTATAAAGGAATATAAAAAATACAAAAAAAAAAATGAATGAGTGAGAAATTAAAATGAAAATAAAACACAAGTTTTTATGAATAATAAAAAAAAAATAAAAAAAATAACAAAGAGAATAAAATACAATAATTAGGGTTCATCATTGTCTCTAATTGTTTACAATTATCTTTATCGAACTCGTTAGATTGTTGTGTGAAAAATAATACCTGTTTCAAAGAAGCTTAGAAAAGTTGTGCATAAATATCATACAGAAAATATTAAATAAATAAATTAAATGTAGCAGTGAGTGAAGTAATTTATTATCAACTGCAACATTTATGGTACATAGCTTTTACAGTCTTTTTAAATTATCCATTTTTATATTCGTGATAACATTGAGAGTGGACATTTATTTTTTTAAGTAATTTCGCTCCAATTCTTTCTCTTTGTTTTTTGTTATATATTCAAGTCTTGCCAGAAAGATTTGGAGCAGAAATAAATGAAAGTTTATGTTTACTTTATATCATCTAATAAATTGAAATAGTTGTTTAACAAAAAATTATAGTATTTAAATGCTAATTTATGTCTTTAATTTTGCAATCGTTATTAAATGAAAAAATTTTAAGAGAAAATGAATCTCACATAAGAACAAAATGTCGATCAATGATTGAGAAAAAATTTATCTACATTATTGTAAAATGTAAAGCTATGAGATATGAAGATAACTTTCCAAATTGTAATGATAATTAGATAAAGGCGCTTGAAAAATGTTCAGAAATTTCACGAATAATCTGAAAAGATGAGAAGCAATAAGAAGAGGTCCTGCGTGGCCTTATCATTTCCTAAATCATCATTCCTACGATATGTATTGTATATTGTACACCTTTAGCAAAAAATCTCAATTTTCCTTTTCCTCATCATTTTCAAATCCCATGTGACTAAAAATTATATATTAATTTAAAAATAAACAAATGTTTTTTTCTTCATTCACCTTAATCACTTATTCCAAACAAAATTATGTAAAATTTTATTCATCTTTATAAAAAAACTGTTTTAAATCAATTCAATCTTTGAATACAATAATTAGTAATTATTAAATATAGTTGATATTATTTTAAAGTACAAAAGTTTAATTTATGTTTAATTAATTTAAGATAAAATGTTTTGTTGATTAAATTAAATAATCAAACTAAGAAATAATGGTGAATTTATTTTATAATTTATACAAAATTTAATAGATCTCTAAATTAAGAAGTCGTTAATGATTAATAAATTTATTTATAAACCTGTCAAATCATATAAATAAATGTTTTGAATTTCCCATTTAGATGAGAAATTGATTACTAATGAAGATGAAACCTTTAAATCGATACCTGCACAAAATGATATTTTAATTTGCTGACTAGAGGAATCAGAGACATGAAAACGAAAGCAGAACAGATATTGTGACCTATAAAATTAATCGTAGGAGTATAAAAAAATAGATGAATAGATTTTTCATCTGTCACTTAATTCTCAACATCTGAATCAGCGAATCTATCAACATATTTTTCCATATTGGCCAAGACATGTGTCATTCATGCTCCTGATGAAACATCAGTGTTACATTCCATCGTAAAATACGTATGTTTAAACTTTATTTTGTAATGTATTTCTTATTCCTCGACATTTCCTTTTTCGCATTGACCTTACAATGCCAAATGAAGAGCGCGTGGGATTATCGGTTTCTCTTGATAGAAGAGATTGCTTTTGCATGGATAAGCAATTGAAATAAATTAAGTGAGTTGGAGTGATATCATTAAACAGTTACACTCACCACTGGCGTAAAGATTTAATAAGCAAGAAAACACTAGAATCACTCGTGGATACCGTAATTCACGCGTTAACCTTGTTTATTGGTCATTCAAGTATTTTAATTGCTATTGCGTTGGTGTAAGGCAATGAGAAAATAAAAAGAGACATAGTGTTTGAATAACGCATTCCAGTAATTCGATGTTTTTTAACTGCTGAGATGGCGGCAAATTCTTGTGATTGGGTGAATCAATTGCAAACGAGAACGGACGCTTTAGTAATTATGAAACGATTTAACGAATTCTACTGGACCGATATCGATACTCTCGAGCAATTAAGATATCGACCATTTTATCTTTTCTACGTGACTTATTATCTTTTAATAATTATCATTTTCAACGAAGCAGCTAGTTCGATGAAAGGCTTTTTTTTTATGGTCACGAGAAATTTAGAATAAATCGTGTGGTCTTTCCATGAAATCACGATGGGTAATCATGAAATTGCTAGTGAATTTAAATTGTGACGGCTGCGGTCTAGGACAAATCTGAAGGAAAAAGCTAAAGAGAATAAAGAAAGATAAAAAATAACAAGGGAAACGAAGGTGAATGGTACCGAGTCCCAGTGGATAAGGGATCTTGATTTAATATCGTTTATAAATTATTCCTAGAAGATAGACATCGGCATACAAATTGGTAAGAGCCTTTTGCAGGCCTACTGTCTCGAAGGAATGCTCTGACATATTTCCGTGATCAACTATTTATTTATTTGTAAATATTATTTTACTTTATGTAATCGTACCATTTCTTTTTGTACAACCTAATGGTAGTTATCTTTAAAGTGATAGATGAAAATACTAGGAATTTAAATCTAATTTTATAGATAAAGATATAATTTATTGCTTATAAATGGATCGAAAAAAAAAATTAAAAGTAAAGAATTTAAATGGATAAATTGAAAAAAAAATTTTTTTAAAATATTCTTAATGAAATCAATACATTGGTAAGGTTTGGATGAATTTCTTTCGTTCAATATACAAGTAGACGTTGATCTTGTAGAGCATCAAACAGAGTAGAGAATTATTGAGGTAAAGGATATTTAGTTCTAAGTCCATTGTAGAGAATCCTCAGAGTCCCTTCACATTACTGAATCCTCCAGCATCCCTTGTGATTCCGATTAGAATTCTATCGAAATTCCCAAGTTGCTTTGACTGTCTACAGACTTAGTAGGCTTTATTGACGTTTAGTTTAAATTAAGGAGCATTTGGTCCAAGCAAAAGGCGCAGCTAAAGCTGTAGAGAGAATAGAATAAGCGGTTGGTCAGTTGACTTGGTTCAAATAGGAACGAGGATTTAATTGACACCGGGAGGTGTCGCCGCACTAAACTATGCAAAGTGGACGACGAGTTGATCGTTGGACTTTTACTGTTCGTTGGAGTCTCTTGAGAACATCTCCTTTGGCTCTTGCCGCACATGCCGAGGGTCGACTTCCAAAGACTGCTGGAAGACAAAAAAAAGTAGTCAAAAAAAATCGACATCTATACCCGAAATGATTGCTCATCTCTCACCAATCGAACACGACGATTTCACGATTCACGCACCGACGAAAGTCAAATGAAGCAGAAGAGATGGACTGCCTTTCGAATATGTATAAAATTCTCGAGGTATCGAAAGGTTGAAGAGTAAAGGAGGCAAGAATTTCAGTGGATAATAAGTGACAGTTAAAAAAAATAGAAGCATGAATCAGTGGATAAAAAAATAGTGAAAAATGCCAACTTCTCACCGCGGTTGCAGCGACAAAGGGCTGCTGGGTATCGTTGCCGAGAAATAAATCTCATGGTTAAGAACCGACTTCAAGCTTGGCTCCAAGCTTCGATGGACTTGGTAGCATTTTCTCTTTCTCTCTTTTACTTTTACTCACCGTCTTGCAAACTCCTCCATGTCGCCTTCTCGCGTTGGCTCTCATTTACACTCTGCGAGCTGGAGGATTTACTGGCCGTGGAATACAATGCAGACCCGTCCATGTCCATCTCTAACCCAGCAAACCGCTCTGTTCCTTTCGCGCGTTGTGTTGTTGCTACTGAGAGAATTGCCCATAGATATTCTTCCAGAATTTCACCAACTACCTTCGATGTATCGCCGAAATTTCGAGGTGTTGTTTGCCTTCTAAATTAGGTACATACCTGCAACTTTAATGCTCCGCTACTTAAAGGACTTCTCGAACTCTTTAATCCTTGGCTCGTCAAATTTATAGGAGCCATCACTGAAAAAAAAATTCACTTCAATTTATTGTCAACATTTTCAACGATAAAGTTTTTTTTACAGTCTAAGTGACAATGATTAAGGTTATTCTTGGAAAATAACTCGCTTGGATTCTTAATATGTTTATAATAAGTATTCAGGTGATATGATTACGTTGATATTATGCATGTATGATATCTGCATTGAATTACCCTCTGTATTATTATTTCACAGTCGGTTCTGACACTGGTAAACCTGTTCATGTTGATAAAAAATTATAGATCGCAAAGCTGTGAATGTGCAAAGAAATACCATGATAGCCAGACTTTTTGCACGTCCAGTTTTTTTCCGGAAAAATTGATGTTCTCGAGTTTTTATTTTCTTTCAAGGATTTTATTTGAAGTAAAAACGTGAATGCTTCCTGACATTCCCAGATACTGCAAAATGTGATTAAAGTGTTGGAACGGTGAAATATTAAATGGGTTAGTTCTAACGATAATATTTTTTTTAATTTACTTGATTAATTTCTTTCAACAAAACTTGATAAAAATTTTCGTGTTTTATTTTTCCTTAAAAAAGAAAAATATTTTCTTTAGCGATATTGAGATCATTAATTATATGTTTATGTCGTAATATATAATAAAAGCTATTTATTTAATTATTCAAATTTTACTAAACAATTTAGAGTTACAAAAATATTTTTTTTCTCATAAATACTGTTGAATTTCGAAGATTTATTTTAAAATCTACCTACACCTGAGCTTCCTTAAGTGACAAAATATCAATTAAATTAAATACGACCCAGCAGCATTTACTGATTAATTTATCAAAGGATTTATTATCCCATGTTATAGAGTCTGCAAAGTGTTCGAGTGTGTTTAATCCAAATGTGATGAGTGATCTTTACTTGAGAGACACATCTAAAAGAATATATAGAAGAACGAGTGGACAACGCAGCTTGTATAGAGGAGAAGGGGCTTCTAGTAGACACCGTTTGTCGGCACGTTTGTAGCACCGACACCGCCTTGAGGTGTAGACTTAGTAGTGAACCTTCACTAAAGTGGAGAGCAATTCTAGCGATGCTAGTTAATTCAAGTGATGCTAAAATATATTGCAAATGAATTTAAAGCTCCTTAATTTAAAAAAGCTTTTAATAAAAAACTTTGAAACACTAAATGGCTTGATGTTTATACTGTGAGTCAAACTAGTATACGAAGAATAAACATCTCGATTGATTTATAATCAATTTTTTGTCGGTTGGACATCGATTTTGTAAAGTCAGAAAGCCCTTAACAACGCTTGTAAGGTGTATTGTGTCTCTTGGAATATGAAAAAATGTAAAATATTATTTATAAAGTAAAATAGTAAGATAAAACATTGAATTTAACGCGAGGAAATAAATGATGATATGTTAGAAGATGGAAGGAAAAAATATTGGGCGCCTGATCCACGGCTTTTATTCATAACGTGCTCACGAGTCTGCACAAAGGAGTCATGGTGAGATGGTAGCCTACAAGATCGGATAATATGGGTAGTTATTTGTCGACGCTGATGTTGGTTTTTCGGTTGGGATGTGTATACGTGAAAGAGGTACCTCCTGCGGCGACAAACCCGCCGAATCCCTCTTTCTTCTTCTTATCGTTTCTTCCCTTTATTTTATAGTTGCCACCGAGTTTATATTTTCTTTTTTCTAATTACTAGACTCTCTTCTATTTATTTACTCCAATCTTGCTTAGAAAAAGAATATACATCACTTAGGATAGACCATAAAGTAGATTGTCAGCTAAATGGTATCTACAAATAATAAAAACATCAATATCATTAAATATATATTAATAATTATTATTGATGATTGTTGAAAAAATAAATGGTTTATTATAAAATGTTAACAAAGTCTTAGTATTTTTTATTTAAAAGATAATTTACCCCTAAAAAAAGAGATCTTCATCAAATTTGAGTGTCTTGAAGAAAAAAAATA